AAAAATTTTTTTTTGCACATCTGTGTAATTAAATGCTAAGTAATTTGGTCTAGGGGTAGGTATTAGGCACTATCTCTTATTAAATTTAATAATTAAAATTAAATTAATATTTATTAATTAATTTAGAATGTTCTGGANTCTTTTAGAGGTCCCCGTCAGGAAAAATTGCATAGAATAGAAAAACAGTTCTATCTTTTTAACAGTTTTCAAACATAGCTGTGTTCTAATTTTTTACATTTAAACGATGTTGAACACAAAGATTGTCACATATTACAACATATAATTAAAATATTTATAAATTAGAACACAGCTATGTTCAAAAACTGTTAAAAAGATAGAACTGTTTTTCTATTCTATGCAATTTTTCCTGATGAGGGCCTCTGAAAGACGTCCAAAATCGTTTTCGGGCTTCTCAGCAGCATTTTCCATGATTTACTCGTGTTCGTTGCAATCTCAACTAGTTGAGTAAATCATGGAAAATGCTGCTGAGACGCCCAAAAACATTCGAATATTAAAATTTTTTTGTTCATTTACTGGAATTATCGCTTAGGTGTGAAGTGGTTGTTTTATCAACTTGCCATCTCGACAGATTGAAATGCATCAGACAGAAGTGACACCTTGGTCCAACAAGCCAATCTCAATGTCTGATTCATCTTCAGACATCAAATCAAACTCGGATTTCACACCACGTTATAGTTCATACTTCTGTGTAGTGTGACTGATATTCCAATGTCTCCAAGGGTCTTCATTGTCGAAAGCTTTGTTGTTTGTTGAGGAGAGGCTGTTTCCACTAGTAGGTCCCAACCTCAATTTTTGTATGTTTTTTAGGTGCCCAATGATTAATTCAAATAACCTTTGAATCAAAAAAGGTAAACTCTTAGCAACAGGTTTTTGTCCAGTTGCATGCACTATTAAGTAAGCAGGTTGACTGGAGGTCTTTTCTTTGGTCTTTGATATTGTTGATGTATCAGGATGTTTTGAATTTTTGGAATCCATGATTAAAGTTTAATTATTCAGCTCCCAGTGACCTCACCCACCATGGGGCCCAACAAGGGGATGCCATCACATGGAAGACTCCCATAGACCGTCACACCAGGGTTTTCCAGGAGCTATACCCTCACAATGCAGTCAAGAAGAGCACATCTTGTCTGACGTGTCAGCCCGGTCTGCATCGATTAGTTGACTCCAGGCTGAGGTCAAACTGACTTAACAACCAGCCGATTGACTCAAATGGAGCCTGATTTGAGCCACCCGTTTATCCGAAGCAGGGGCCAAAGCAGTGTGTTAGGAACGTTATGTTGTCCCTCAACTACCAGGATCCCCATTTCCAACGTATGGGATACCACGCACGGCAAACATGTGGGTGGGCGTTCAGATCCCAGGGATGGTAAAGAAGAATTACTAAACCATCTCTGGGAGGTCCCCTCACCACTAACAGGAACCCACATCGAGGGGATCGATCCATTCTCTGACGATTGCATTGGGTATGGAGAAAATGGAGGTATATAAGAGTAAAGTAAATAACAATTGCTTAAATGCCATGGATGCTAATGATCTTCCAACAGCATGGAAATATGTGATAGAAATGGAAATGAGAATTAAAAACCCTTAAACTTGTGGCGGTTGTACTTTAACTGGTTTAATGTATATTTCGTTATATTAGTTTATTTTTACATTTGTTTAATTATATATTATGTTAGTATTTTGTTAAATATTTAATATTTTACAGTTTAATGTAAAGATTTAAAAAATTTTTAAATTTAAAGTGTGTTTGAAAAGCTTTGTGTTCAATTGTAGAACAGTAATTTCCTGAGGATGGCCTATTAGAAATAGGCTGAAAATGTTTGAGTATTAAATCAATAGTAAGCTCAGCAAGTGTTTGGTGTTTGATTATATTTGTAAGTAAACGGCTGAGGAAGTGAGGATAGATTATTTCCAATAATTGATATCAAATATGAATCAATATCATTTAATATTTCTTGTCAGTTCATAACAAATGACAATTGATCAGCAGTCATCTACTTTATATAAATGAACAGTTAAGTTTTGGAAATAATATAAACTGTTGTTACATATTCTTAAATGTTTCCATATTTTTAAATTTAGAACATCTGTTAACTTACATCAAATGATATCAACTGACACAAAATGATAACATATACAGGAAATCCTCATTAGATTGAAATTCAGGGAACCAAATATTCGTGACTTTGAATTATTTGAGATTTACATATTTCTGCTAAACATGCCAAATGCCATGTAACCAATGTAATTTATTAAGCAAATGGAATGTGGTTACTTATACACGATGCTATACCATGATCAACACCTGCACGTGGTGGGAGAGCCCAATAATTTTACTAATCTGTATAGCAATGCAGGCTGGAGCACAAGCTCCTGGTAGGGACACCCAAGCCAGTAAGGTCTATGGGGAGAAATGAAGCTAAGAGTGACACCACCCACATTCTGTGGAGATAATTATCATGGTAGTAACCAGATCAAAGTGTGATACCGGCTCGGACGTTGCCTGGGTTAACAAGGTCCACGTTTGTGAGTTAGGCAGAAGCTCACATTTAAAAAATAGGCCACAGTCTCTCTTGGCTACTGGTGGTGAAAGCAATGCTGGCCCAAGCATGACTACTGCAAAGTCATGCTTTTGCCAGCACTTGACAGATATGAAGAACCAACCTAACGTTGGTGTTTCTGTGGCAATGCATCCACAGACCACAAAGGCTGGAAAACCACACCAACAGATGAAATGAACAAGTTCATCATCTGTTCTTACTACACCAACACAAGACTCAAAACAAACATGACAGCATACAGACAAGAACTACACCATAGATTCACACAACAATATTCTCACTTCACTGTCACCGAGCAAAGGGTTGTTGATCAAAAAAGAACAATTATACACAACAACCTTTTCCCACAAACACTTGAACTTATCAAACAACAGGTTGCTGATCAAATATATCAACATACTAAAAACATTTAATATTAATGAAGATCACGTAACCTGTCAGGATAATCCAGCAACAAGCATTGATAATATCACACATACAACAACTACAACTAATGATACTACAGGCACTTCCTCATCCATCACTGATAACGTAGACATAGAATTAGTTAATATGCTCTCACTTATATTTCAGGAAACACTCACTAAATATACAGGCACAGATCCCACTCAAAGACCACGAATACCAAAAATCAACATGTCAAAGATAGTAGGAAAAACACTAAATTATGTAAACACTCACTTACTACCAAACTACATTCATTTAATTTCTACACTCTCAGACATTCATACATTAGTTTATGCTGGGGCAGTCACAGTAGTAACACACCATGGACTGAAAATACACTCACAGACAGACACACACAAAACACAATCCTATCACAAGCCTGCCTGGCAGAGAAGAATAGAAACACAAATAAATGACATTAGACAGCAATTAGGCAGGCTGACACAATACACTAAAAACAACATAACACCCAAATTAAAGAAACAACTCAAAAACATTTTCAAGAAAATCAAAACACACACAAAACATGAACATCACAACACACACATTACAGAATACATCGATACACTAAAACAAAAACTCGCAGCCAAAGCACGTAGACTCAAACGATACAAAACATGTACACTACGAAAACAACAAAATAAATTATTCACAAACAATGAAAAACTTTTCTACAGACAAATCAGTACCAAAACAAACACTGATACACAGCACAGTGGCACACCAACAGAAGAAGAACTCACAACTTATTGGTCTTCTCTTTGGTCCAATGCTGTTACACACAATGCTGATGCAGGCTGGATCGAGGAGGAGAACAGAAACTTGCACAACATACCAACTATGCCCTGTGCTGAAATAAACGTACACGACATTCGCTACGCTGTTAACAGAACACACAACTGGAAGACACCTGGTGTAGACAACATTCACAATTTCTGGTACAAAAAGTTTACATCACTGCACCAGGAACTAGCTAAACATCTAACACACATCATCATTAATCCACAAGACATGCCAAAATTTCTTACTCAGGGCATCACCTACATTAAACTAAAAACAAGAATATCACAGACCAATTACATGTCTTCCAATACTCTACAAATTATTGACATCCTGTATCACAAACAAAATATATAAACATGTTGAAGAACATGACATTCTTACAGAACAACAAAAAGGTTGCTGTAGAAATCACAGGGGATGCGAAGAACAGTTACTCATAGATTTAGTCATTTTACGGCAAGCACACAAACAACACAGAAACATACACATGGCATATATAGACTACAGAAAAGCATTTGACAGTTTTCCATACAGTTGGCTGCTACATATTCTACACATGTACAAAATACATCCATAACTCATTGCATTCTTCCAAAACACTATGCATCACTGGAAAACAAGACTACATCTCAGGGTTAGTAACACTTCCATACAAACAAACGAAATATTCATTAGGCGAGGAATTTTTCAAGGAGATTCCTTGAGTCCTCTCTGGTTCTGCCTAGCCCTGAATCCATTATTCAACAACACTCAATATGGCTACAATATCAGACATGAAAAAACAACACAGTTTACTCTGTCACATCTCATGTACTAAACATGGACAACAAAAACTTTATGAATCCACACAAAAACAACTTCATCAACTCCTACAAATCACACATTCATACACCAAGGACATACAAATGGAGTTTGGCTTAGACAAATGCAAAACACTTCACATAGAAAAAAGAATCCTGAAGAAAGAAGATTTTGCACTTGGAAATGGAGACGTTATTGAATCCATGGAAGAGGGCGAGTTCTACAAGTATTTAGGATTCCAATAGGACAAACTAACAGAATATACATAAATAAAGCAAAGATAAATTAAAGAATACCAAAGTAAGTTAATTAATGCTATTTTCTCAGAACACAGTTAAATGTAAAACACACAGTTAAAGCTATAATATCATTTTGTATGCTTACCTCTTCTTTTGGAGTTTGTAAACTTGAAAAAATATCATACACAGATAGCAAAAAACCTTTATCTATCCTTATGTTTAGTTCTTGAATCAGTACTTTAAAATATCTGAAATATTAATAATACACATTAGTTTAAATTTAATGTTTTAAAGACTAGTTTTTACACCACTGCTAAACCTTTACTTCCGGTAAGATATAATACATAAAACGAACAAATGTTTTTGATCTTATCCAAAAACCGAGGCAGATCGAAAATGTTTGTTTGTTTTATGTATTATATTTTACAGAAGTAAAGGTTTAGCAGTGGTGTATGCATCTACTGGTAATTGGTCTAGAAGTTTGGACTAATTTTTATTTTAAAAAATTATACTAAATCTATATTAAAATTATTATTTTTTAAATAATTTCAATTTAAATACATACACATAATGGAATTATCATTTAGCAAAAAGTTGATATCATGAAATTATTTTTTCTACATAATTTAACAAAATGTTTTTTAAAGAAATTTCTTAATTTTTTAAAATTTACTTTCTATTAATAGCATATTGTAAAAAGAATGCATTACATTTAAGAAAATATATCTATTGAAATATAGTTTCCAGAAATGTATAAAATTAACAAACTGGATTCTACAATGCAATGTTCAACAACCTTTAATCTAGCAAGTTATAAATTACAGAAATAACAAACAGTCTCAGTTTCATTTATCAGCCATCTTCAGGTTTAAAAAAATAGTTAAATTGTAGAATACAACTTGTTCATGGTAAATGTGTTATAAATTCAATTTAATATACACCTGATCTTAAAAATTAGACAATTATTTAACAGATATTCAAAACAAACAAAAATTATAAACAATAAGTGAAAATAAAAAAATAAAGGATTGTTAAAAACTTGATATGCTTGTTGGAGATTGTGAAAAAACTAGTTATGCTACAGACTTATAGATAAGAAAAATAATTATTTTATTTACATACAAAAACTTTATATATATATATATATAACTTTATGACATGGCTGTTTGAACTGGATAATTCAGTGGGCTGAATAATCACAGGCCAAATGATTGAGTGTCATGATAAGTGTTGCTACCTGTCTGAGATGCATGCCTGGGGCCTCATAAATCAAGAGGGCCTCAAAATTCAGCTCTCAAAATAATAATTAAATAAAATAATTTTTTATATTTTTTTCATAATAAAAATAATTAATAATTTAGCGGTATTTCCTAAATTAAATTGACAAGTGAATAATGCCAGCTATGACATGTTTTGTGGGTGGCAACCCTAGCTGTCATATTTCAAACCATACACTGACTGTTCCACAGACAAATTCACTTTATCAATCAGTCATTCCCAGTAAACCCAAAAGATGAAATAGAATACTTGAAATGGAATTAATTATAACAAATGTTCAAAATGTCCTACATTATTTACCAAACAATAGTGAAATCTATTATAATAATTTACAAATAAATTTTTATTATTTTTAACACTTCTACCTATTGAAACTTAATAATTCTTGTATCAATAAGTTTCAATTTTCATAATTAATACAAATCTGATCAGTAACCTTTTACATACAGCCAGGCAGCTTAATTTTCAATGTTATTTCTCTATGTCTCACTTTTTTTGGACCACTAGTATAGTGCCTACCAGAGTTGCACGTAGAATGCACATTGTAGGATGTAGGGATAGTGAGAATATTTAAAAGGAGGGCCTCAAAATTGAATTGAGCCTGGGGCTTTACTCACAAGTGCTAAATCCACCACTGTGTATGAGGCATGTGCAATGTCATTTTACAGCCAAGAACTGAACAATGCGCATGCCAGTTTTAAACCAGTTAGGAACTTGTGTTGGAACAAATGTAATATTTGCCAGAGATATTTACAAGTTTCAATTTTAAAAGTGCATTTTCTGTCACTCTTAGCCTAGGGTTAAGATGGGGATAAGTTTGGGTAGGGGAGTGAAGTCAAAGTCTTTAACCATTAAAATAAAATACTTGCAAATATTTTTATAAATTTATTTTGTTTCATCATAATTTCACAATTTCTACAAATTAATAATTAATCCAAACCATGAATTTAAAAACTGAATTGTCTGAGTGAAAACCGGCCTGGTGGCAACAATAATCATGATAAAATAACAATTTTGCTAATGTAATAAACTTTATGTAGGTAAATCATAATCTGTAAATTAAATGCTAATAAACTTTGATATTTTAAAAATAAAAATGAAAAACTTACTTTATTGTATTCAAATTTAGATTACGAGATTTATGAGTTAACAAAGCCATTTCAATAAATGGTTTTGGCCCATTGCGCCTTACAAGAGCTTGAGGTGGAGGCACAGGATAAAGCACTGTAGGAAAAATGGCATCTGGTAACTGATTGTCAATCTGAAAAATAATAACAAAAATATTTTTCAGATTAAAATGCTTTCTCTTATAACATATATAATAATTTTTTATTAAAATATAATTACTAATTTTATATACTGTATTGAAAACTCAATATTTTTATTACATAAACAAACATAAATAAAAAATAAAAAAACATTTATCTTTTATTTTTCATGGAATGTGTTTATTTCAGATGCTAAACATATTTTATGTCATGCATATGGATTTTAATGGACTTAAAAAAGTTTTAATATTGATTGAATATTTTCAAATATTTTATATTGAAACACTTTCAACAGTTTAAGCATAAACTTTCAATTTCACATATTCCATTTTCAGGATCATCATCTTTAGGATCACAAAACACAGATTTATCAGATTTTTCCATTTTTGAATTAGTCTATTAGGTATTCAATTGTCGAACCATGGAAATTTGGAAACAGCTGTCAAAAATAATCTACCCTTCATTGGATTCACGTGGAAATGAACAAGTTTTGAAACACTTTCAATGATCATAATCAAAAGTAAATATATTATGAAGAAATTAGAGAATTTTTTCCAACTATGAAAATGCATTTCAGGCATCAAATCCTTCTCTTATTAAATTTAGGAATATGATGTTAACAAATGAAGCCTTTTTAGAAATATCACATTTACACTGATTTTTCATATGACTAAAAATAAAAATTTAAATTAGTTTATAAAGGATGATAACTGAAATCAGAAACTTATTGTTTTTTGATAACAAATATTTGACTGAATTGAAAAATCAATTATATTATTTATATTTTATTAATCATTTAATCATAGTTTTAAAATAATTTGTCGTGTAAGTACACCATGTTTTATGCTACTATATTTGTTTTCTTCTCCCTTCCTGCATACAAATATGTTTGTATATATATATTTGTTTTTGTTTATTCCCTGGTTCATTTTATAATTTTATATACTTCTTTCCATACTGCCAGTCAGTGCACCCTGGGTGTGCAGTTGGTCACTATAACAATGGCATGGCAGGGGACAAAGTCCAAATTAATCAGATGACATTTCTGGGGAACAAAAAGGATATGACAAGGAGAAATCTCATTTTTTCTGTAGAGTTTGTTCCAGTGTAGGGTGTGTGTGTTTGTGTGAGAAGACAGATGATGAGCCTAGGTAGTTGTGGAGATCAGCAATGAGTTAGGAGCTTGACTGTACATGGAATCTACTTGCTTCGAAAGTAGTGTCAGGTATGAATGGCAAATATTAATTGGAACTTTGAACTCGATGATAAAACTGAAGTTTCGGAAGATTAGTTTACGATTGAAGGCAATTATTTCAATCGAGGACAATCAACTCACATATAAATGCTATTGTATTGTGTGTGGTGCTACACATGTAAGACTTCTGTTACATTTATACATCTATGTGAAGTCATATGTTTGTAAATTTGTGATAGAATTTTTCTTATATATCTAGCTATATTTAAAAATAATAGAACTGTATATTAAGTGATTATTTGCAACTGTCCCATCTCGTTCAAGTAGAGAACTACAAATTTAACTATTTCTATGTTTATATAACTCGATATTCAAAAATTAAAATTCATTTTTATAAATTCAACTACCCAAAAACAGGAATACACTAATAAACACTGCACACATAACCAATATCAAGCAAGAATAAATTACAAGAAAGCAAACCTTTTCATCCATGTTTAATAGGGATGCCCATTAAACATGGTTTAATATGTTTGTTTTCTTCTAATTTCTTCTTGCTGGATATTGGTTATATATGAAGTGTTTATTTATTTTTATTAAATTATCTAAGAGAGGATGTTAAAACTATATACTTTAAAAATCCTACATATCGTTCAAGTAAAAATGCCAACAAGTGCTAGATCAGATTAGTTTTGTTTCAGTGTGATGATGATTTTATAGTTGAAATAGTTAATAGTATTTATCAGTTATTATAGCTAATTTTTATCAGTCTGCATTTGCTTTTTATCATTTGGAATAATCTAAATATATAAAATTGCTTGTCCTGACTGACTGACTGAATGACTCACTCACTGATTCATCATCGCCCAGAGCAGACTGCTTAACCTAAAGGGGTGAAATTTGGTAGACAGTTAGGGTACATCATGGAAACGCACACTAAGAAGGGATTTTTTGAAATTCCTCCGCAGGGGGAAGGGGAGAGCATTAAGGCTTAACTGGAAGAACGGCTTCTACTGTACTATTTTAGATGCGTTTTTTGTTTCTAACTGCATTTTAGTAGGGTAGGCCATGGGAATGAACACTAAGAAGGGATTTTTCGAAATTCCCCCTGGGCGGGAGAGGGAGAGGATTTAGTCTTCATCGAGTACTTAGGTGTATTAAATTAATAACATTTCAGACATTGTTATAAATATTTTTATCTATTTCGATTTTAAAAATGTTCGAACCATTTTAAATTCAAATTTGTTATTGCATATTGGTTCGATTATAGAATGGTTGTAAACTTTCCAGAAAATTGATCAAATTGAAAACAGTTCATTTGATTCTCGGCAATTCTCATCATTCTCAGCGGTAGGTGTTATATAACAATTACTATGGTTGTTGAAATACTGAATATAAATGGGGTTTGCTTGCAAAAGCCACGAGTAACAACTAGTTTGTTATGAATTTAGAACTTAAACATAATTCACATATTATTAAAAAGGTTTTTAACATTTTTTTAATATTTTATACAATATACAAATTATAATACTATAAATTGTTTTGAAGCATATCTAATATTAATAATTATAAATTTATTTTATTGAAATTAAATTAAATTTACCTGAAATCGATGAATTTTTGCATAAACATATGACTGATGAGTGGATTTCCTAAAATGGCACCATAAGGAAGGAGTATAAGTACGACGTAATTGTCCAAAGCATGGTTTTGTCATGTGCATTTTGATAAAATCAACCTGTAAATAATCTTTTAGTTCTGCCTTTTGTTTTTCACCTCTCCATTTATCTTCCAACCAAGTTGATAATTCTAAAGTCAAAAGTTTCCATGTGTGATTAATTTCTATTTCCCACATGGCAGGTGCACCTTTAATACCCAAATATGCTATTTCTTTATATGCTCCATTTATTAGTGATAAACTAATTCCATTCAATGAAAGAAAGCACTCAAAATTTGCATTCTCTCCATCAATTGCCTGCAAAAAGTGTTTCTCTGTTAATAGATTCATATAATAGTATTTTTAATGGTAAATATTTATGAGATATGGCATTAAACAGTATACAGCATATCAAAAACATTTCTGATATAATTTGAATAAAAAAGAAAATGCAAAAAACAGAAAGATTAAATTAAATACGAGTATATTATTTTTCACAACATCTTATATTACGAAAATTTTTAAATGTGTAGCAGATGTAATCTAGAATTCATTAAAAAAGGTTACTAAAAATTAGAATTTTCTTCTAAAATATAATTTCTTAATTAAAAAATAAGGAAAATATTACATAAAAAAAAATTAAAAATTTCAAAAAATATTTCAGTTTATAATTGATAAAAGATGTTTATATCCAATTATATTAAATTGAATTAAGATACTTGAATCAGATTTTTAAAAATATATATTCTAATACAGTGGTATCTTGTACTTTGAATGCTTCAGAGTTTGAATAAAAAATTTGACAAAAATTTGCCTCAAGTTTGAACTGCATGCACAGTGAAAAAAAATGCACTCAAAGCATACACACAAGAGATAATGTGGACACATCTTTTATGTGTCCACGTTATCTCTTGCTTTTGCTCTTTTGTTATGCTTGTATGTTATCAGTACTTTTTTCACTTTATTTTTGGTATGTTAGATTATTTATACGTATTGTGTGTTATTCATCAATCTTTAATAATTTCTTCCTTTAATTATTCTTTGTTGACAACTTTTTGGCATCCCTGTACATTTTGTATCTTTTAGTTCAAAATTTCCCAAATGAAACTTTTTAAACCACATTTGGCATATTCAAAGTTTAGGAGTATCTTCCCAATACACATTACAATTGTTTTTACTGTTTGTACAGCATTAGCTCCTTTTCAAAACTCATAAGGCATAATATGCCTGGTTTACTTTTTATTCAAGATCATTACAACTTGATTTTATTCAAACAAAATGTGAAGTAAAAAAGTTTAAAATAAACTTCTAAATAAAGAACAAAATCTCACACTATCTACACTGCTGGCTATTAAAATCTCACCTACATACACCATGAAGGCAGATGCAACAAATGCAAAATTTGCATGAAAGGTACAGTACAACATGCTGGGATATGCAAATGATTAGCATTTCAATGCATGTTTGCAAAGCAGATAGGAGTAAGGCCACCTACAGTCTGTTTAAAAGGGAAGCTTGTAAAGCTGGTTTCTTATTTGGAAATCATATGTACACATTGGTTGCTTCTGTAAAGGTTTGTTATGCTTGTATAAGAAGAAGAAATGCTTACCAGTACATGTCAGAATTTGATTGTGGTACGGTTACAAGGATTACGGTTGATCATTCCACCCTATTGCTGCTCACATTGGTCATGATCCCAAGACTGTCACGAGAATATGGAATTGAAGGGTCTAGGAGGGCCACACAGAACGCTGTGCAGAATCTCTGCAGCCCGTGGTTAGTAACATCTGTGAGGACAGACATCTCTTCCACATGGCCTTGCAGGATCATACAGCCACATCATGTACCCTGAGTCAGAAACTTGGGTTGTTTTCAGAACAACAAGTGTCTGTTTGCACAGATAGTGCAATGACGTCTGCAGCACCGTGGATTATCAGCATGGCGACCATTGCTGAAGCTTTCCTTGACACTATAGCAGAGACAGGCATGTGTACAATGACAAATGTGAACATGGGAATGGTGTCATGTCGTCTTTTCAGATGAAGCCTGGTTTTGCATATAGCATCATGATGGCCATATCCATGTGTGGAAGCACTGAGGAGAATGATCATTGTCAGTTTGCATATATCATCATCTTGCAGGCCAGCACCTAAAGTGATGGTATGAGAGTGCCATTAGATACACATCCTGGCTATGAGAACAAGAGATAACCACCTCTTGTTCATATAGCCAGTAATTTTGGACATCTGCCCTTATATTTCTGATGTGTTAAAGCCCATTGCTGTGCCCTATCTTCAAGCCTCCTATGCTACTTTTCAACAGGACAACCACATGTTGCCTATGCTGTCCTGATGTTTCTGAATACAGAGGGTGTTCAACTGTTTCTCTGACCAGCATATTCTCCAGATCTGTCACCAATTGAGAACATCTGGTCAGTGAGTGCCAAGAAACTGGCACACCACCACTCACCAGCCAGTACAATAGATGAACTCTGGCACAGAGTTGAAACTGCATGGACTGCTGTACCTGTACCTACCATCCAAACTCTGTTTGACTTGATGCCAGTCGGATTACAGCTGTTATTGCTGCCAGAGGTAGCTGTTCTGGGTACTGATTTCTGCATGCTCTGTACCTCAAAATTACCTGTCAATTCAATCATATCTTCCTCCCATTATACTGTATGTTTACAATAAATACGATTCTGCCTTCACGCATCACAGAAACAAATGCAACACCCTGACTGAGCTCCGCCGCATAGAAAAAACTGTGGTTGAGCATGGCTACAGTAAGGGCATGATTCACGGTTTGGCCTGTGCCTGCGCCAATTGTCGTCCCCCATGCAACAGTGCTACCCCGATTATGATGGACAGTGGACAGCAGCCCATTAAGAATGATAGGCATGTGGTCGTCTGATTCAACCAACATTTGGACCCCCTATACAGGGAGATTGCTTGCCGTAATCAAACAAAGATCGCGTACAGGAGGACCAGCACTATTTATGACCTGCTGTGCAATGCTAAAGACGCGATAGATCTCAACAGAGCCCCAGGGGTTTACTCCATTCCCATCAGGGACAATAGATTCCAAAGAAACTTAGTTTATATTGGTTCTACTGTGCGCTCAATACAAAAACGGTTACGCAAGCATCAATTGGACATTAAAAATAACAGGCACACCACCGCCTTGATGACGTATGTTAGTGACCCTGAAATTCGGGTGGACTTTCCAAACACCAAATTAATCAGACAGGCATTTCAAATTGATCACATCTGTCACCTGGAGGCCTGGGAGATCTTTAAAGCCAACGTTGGGGGCACCCGTATAAACTCTAAAGACGGAGAGACGATAGCGCAGGCGTGGAGATACCTATTTGAGGAATTTGAACGGGGACAAGAGGAGGGGTGAAATGTGATACATGCAATATTTACATCTCAGATGACATCGTTCTAATGGTCAAGGGGAGACAATGCTTAGTCAGCACCTGAAGAAGACCTTGGTGGAGGTAAAAAATGTTAGTGCATATTGTAATGAACACAACACTGAAAATTTTTGTGGACAGTTAAATACGATTCTGCTATTTGATTTCCTTCCTGGTATAGTATTTTTAATGGCCAGCGGTGTATGATATGTTAAATTTCACAACTGTTATAATTAAGTCACACATCTATGTTAAGATGCCAAAGTCCATGGTGTGCAACCAATAAATGCAATTTTTGTTTTATTATACATTATTTACACATTTTATTTATTGTTTTCATGTTTGTTTTCATATTTGGGCATTTAACTGTGTTATCTTAAATTATATGTATTTGTTGTTTTAAGTTTATTGAAATAACTTTTGTTCAGGGTCTGGGAATTGCATTAATTCACATTGTTATTTCTAATGGAAAAAATGCTTTGGACTTAAATCAATCTCCTGGAATGAATTAAAGTATGAAGCACCACTGTACATAAATTAAAAACAAAAACAATATTAAAATATAGTAAAGACTAAAAAATAGCATATTATATTAATAAAAACATTTAATTGTGTATTTTTAATTATATAATAATCTTTAGTTTTGATATTTATACATACCTTTGCAACTTGTTTTGATACTCTTTCATCCTGAGTAAAAAGCAAAACTCTTTGATGATCATCAAGATAAGAGACCCAATAAACAATAACTTTATCTTTTCTTGTTTTTTGAGGTAAAAGTGCAGTTTCTTCTGACTCACTATCATCTGTTAATTTGTGTTTCGGTCAATTTTAATTTAACTGAATATTAAATTTATCTACAATTAATTAACAGTAATTTCTTGTAAATAATTTATACACTTATACAAACCATCATCAGTACTGCTTGTTTCTGCTGGTGATTTACATTTCTGAATACTTGCATTTTGTTTCAATGAATGTACAGTTAATGTTTCATTGCCATGTCCATCCTATTAACATTAATAAACATTTGTTATTATCTATTAAAATAATAAGTTAAATTGCTATTTTTTAAATCTATTAATTTCACGTACAGGTATACCTCGAGTTACATTGTTCTTGATTAAATATCATTTGTCAAAAAAATATATGGAAAAATAAAAATCAAGTTTAAGTCATTTTATTTGACTTTATATCTGTCAAATATTGAAATCGTAATATCACTAGAAAAGTGTTAAAAGCACACAGAATCATATTAAAATACATTTACAGTAAATGTTAATATAATCATCATAAATCGTAGAGAACAAAATATGAAAACATCTGTGACTCTGTGTTGTCGTCTTATTTAGCGGTCTTTAAGAGCTCAATATTGGCATTTTCCACAGTAGTTCCAATATCTACTGTTTGGCATCGTTGTCAGCACCACTCGTTATTAGTAAATTTAACATAGATTAGTTTATTTTTTACTATTGCAAAATAATTTTAATAACTGTATTTGTTATTAACCTTAAAAAATAATCTTATTTTATAATATCTTTGATCAAACCACATTCACAAATAAAGAGTCCGCGATGTACTGTGAACATCGCCAAATTGTAAACATGTATACAATATTTACAAGTATGTACGTATTGTACATGTATTTGTAAATTTAGATTACTTTCTTCCCTGTACTATATTAAAAACTAAAATTTGTTTGTAAGCTTAAAATAGATTCTTATTAATCATATATTATTAAAAATGCATTTATAAATAAAATACAGAACTGGGAATGGTTATTTGTGGTTTAGCCTAGTGACAAGTAAATTCGAAGACCAGTAAATTTGACTTACGTCGTTTTTCGACGTAAGTCAAATTTACTGGTGAACAGTAAGCTAATTTATTTACTCATTCTTCTAATGTATGAATGTCTATAGGAAAAGTATAACTGAAAAGAGAACAGAAACATTTTCTTCTCATGAAGTATGAGCTGAATTTTGTGCTGAAATGAAATAAAATTAATAACTGCAAAAATGAGAGCGTTGTGAATTCCAGCAGCAATAGTATTAATATATCAATATAGTATCAATTTGTAACCAAACTGCTTTTGAGAAATACCAGAAAAAAATTTTATAATTTACTGTTATATATTATATAGGGCCAGTGGCATAGCTACATATTCAGTGCCCTGGAGCAAGTAAAATTGGTACGCCCCTTTGTTCCTCAGAAGAGATCTGGCAAAATTTATTTTGAACATTTAATTTAAAAACATGTATCTAATTATTTTGATTCAAAACCTTATTTAATAACAATTTATTTGAGATTCGAGGCATTTCAACAATAAGATATTCAATTTTAATAAACACAAATATAATAATAAAACAAAATATAATTTTTTAAGTACGGAGTACCTAATAATATTTACTACATAGTATATAAATTGTATTGACAAAATGTATGCAAGTTTAGTTTCATAACAAATACATAATAATACATAAAAAACACTTCAAGATTGTTGTTTTCTCGCTTTTTCATTTGCAAATTGGTCAATTATTTTCTACAGATCAAGTAGACAAGTTATTGTTTATTCAATTGATATAATAGCCAGAGCTAAGATAGTATTGTGACATGCTGCTTCTTAAATAAGTTTTGATTAATTTTAGTTTCGAAAAACTTTGTTCTACTGTCGCTGTCATCGCCCTTGAAGTTAAAAAAATGAGGCATGTTGCAATAATGTGGAGAACCTACTTGAGGATGACAGTGTGAATTAAAAGTAGTTCGGCAACTTCACTTATAGAAATAATTTCATATACCTGACTATAAAAACACATTTTAAATCAAAGCAGTTGAGGTCCAAAATTAGGCAAAATGTTGGAGGGATATGCTGATTGTAAAAATTCTTATCCTTCCAGAATATTTTTATCAGATGATGCAACAAGATATGCAAGTGATAAGCACTTAAAAAGTGTATGGTACATATTTGTCCAACAGAGTCAAATCTAATAGTTAATTGACTAATTATTAAATCCAAAAATTTTTTACCAATGTTTTTACAATAGACTTTTTTAACTTGGCACCCTCATGATTCATGCACCTGAAGCACTATACTCCAACTGTATAGGGCCATCAAAAAAAAGGGTCCATGATTTCAATGTTAAATGCCTTGGGTAATAATCAACCAATTTATTTGATTGTTGTATTGAATTATGTAAAAACATTGAGAGTTTTCTTTTTGATCACTAAATGTATGCAGCAGCATTTCTTCCAAACACCATCTCACTCATTACATGGCATCTATGTAATAGAAATCATAGTGTGTTGTGATATATTGAGCTTAAATCAGTTACAGCAGTGCAACGTCAATATTGACATAGTCATGATCACCTATGGGTAAGACCATAATTTGGTGGTTTAATCACTTTAAAGAATCTGAAAGTGTGCACATTAAGAAATCACTAGGCCAATCTCCTACATTAAAAGAGAATGTGGAAAATCAGAGATTTTGTTTCCATAACCCAAAGTTGCTAAATGAGTGAGTGGTTAAGATAGCAGCCTACAACTCAGGAGACCTGGTATTGAATTTGGAAAGGGTGAAAAAATCCCAGGAATTTTTTGGGAGTGGTCTGTCTAGATATGTTGGACCCCATCCATCACCACTGGATATCGTCTTGTAGGCCTAGTTGAACCCATAATGGGATTATTAAAAAGACCCTATTAGTTCCCACAGGATAGAAAGAGTGAAAAAAATAAAATAAAAAGTTAAAAGAAAACTATCACTCATTATAGTTTGGACTTGGTATTCCTAAAACAGCTGTACAAAATGTACTTCATAAATATTTGAAATTTCACATTTACAAAATAAAACTCAAGTATGAAATCAAAACTGGTTACTGTCCCAAATGTGTTGAATTTGCTGAATTTATGCTGAACAAAATTGACAATTATGACAGTTTCTTAAAGCACATGTTTAGTAATAAGGCAACATATCTCACATATTTTCAGAAAAACAAACCTATGCGAAAATCTAAATGAATGTGTAACTATCATAATTTTAAAATTTGGGATCTGAAAAACCAAATAATATTTTTCAATATGTTCATGACTCTAAGATAAATGTATTGTAAGATAAATGAACCCAGCACATGATTATATGCTGGGTCCATTTATTTTTGTTGAGGAACAATTATAGGCAACATTAAATAAAATATATTCTTCACCCCAATAATTATATACAAAATAAATAAAACTGTCTTTGGTGTTAAAATACTTAGCACTTTAGTGATAATTCTATTATCATTAAAGTGATAATAGAAAATGCTAATTTCATCATAGTTAAAGAATTTTAATTCCAAAAAACAGTTTTATTTATTTTGCATATAGGCAACATTTACTTGGATGTGCTGAAACATTATATTTTTCCTCAGATTGATGACATTGAAAGAAAAAAAAAGAAATAGCCATCATCCTTCAGCAAGATGGTTCACTACCCAATTACAGTTGCAATGTTTGAGACATATTCAACAACAGGTTCCCTGATCACTAGATTGAGAAAGTCAATTCTATTTTTTGGCCAGCAAGAAGCTCTGATCTGACTCCTCTAGATCTTTCTTTTCGAGCTACATTAGTCTATCAAGAAACTAGAAAGACAGAATCATCACTGCAGTAGCAACTGCCACATTTGAAATAATTGTATGCAACTGTACAGAGACAACCTGTCATTTAAATGTTTGCTGAGCAACAAGGGATGCTTATATTGAAACAAAGTATGAAACAAACTTGAGTATTTTCTTCACCTTTTGATATACTGTATAATAAAATCTTTTGTTTTTAATTAAATGTGTTGTTATTTAATCATGAATTCTGGATATCTTTTTCAATGACCCTGTATTACTTGTGCTATATTATAAAGCAATAAACAATAAATCTGTTATTTGAAAATCAACATGCCTCAATAATGGCAATATTAACTCTATACAAATATCTAGTATTGATGAGACTCTATTTTTATGAGTTATCATTGATAAAGAATATGATTAAGTTATTAACAAAAATAGAATTTGTTCATAATATCAAGTCATTGTAAATTTGAAAGTTATTTAAGATTCAAGATTTCAATCATTTAATATTGACAACATTACAATTAATATTGATTTAAAATTACCATTACAATTAATCTGTAGTTACAATCAATGTGATAATTAATTTCATACAATCTTGTCTTTATAACTATTGAAAATGGCCTGTTATGACACAAAGTTAATATAGCAACTCTCTTAATGTTGGACAATTTTGATATTGTAATCATTTGTCACAGAATCAGCCAAACCAATCAAAGTATGAATTATTCTTTTATTAAATATTAGATAAAAAATTATTGAATAACAGTAGCTATAAACTATTAATTTTAAAAAAGTAGTCTAACACTCTATTATCCTAAGGCTAATCCAGTCCAGCATTATTAACTAATTTGATAAGTTTAAATGATGGGAAATAAGATAGCTTAATACTTTATTGATACATGTACAAAAAATCTATTATTATTATTATGTTGGGTTTAGTGAGTTATACTCGGTTGACACCAGTTGCTGTGTCCAGAGTCAAGGCACAGAAACCAAAACAAGACAAAAATTAAATAAGTGTGTCAGTGTGTGCATCTGTATTCAGGAATTTCCTAACAATATGACATGTATTCAATATAGTGGCCTTATGTGATGTATGTGTTTCTATTCAACTGTAATGTTCCCAGGCTTTTGTATAGTATGTGTGTGTGGTATGACACCATGTATTTTGTACATTTTGAGTGTTTAGAATGTCTATAATGTATGTGATTTTATTGTGTTTATCAATGAGTGTGATGTCTGGTCTGTTGTGGTAAATTGTTTTATCTGTGATTATGGTTCTGTCATAGTACATTTTGTGCATGTTGTTTTCTAATACTGTCTGTAGAATGTATTTGAAGTATGGTTTATGGATGTCTAATAATTTGTGTTTCTTTGCAAGCTCTTGGTGTATTATATTTGCTACTTGATTATGTCTGTGTAAATAATCTGTCTGTGCCAAGAGCTTGCACCCAGAAGTAATGTGTTGTATTGTTTCTGGCATGATGTGAATTTGTGAGTGTTGTATCTTTGAGTATGTGTTTTCTGTAGTTTTTACTATTTATGACCTGATCCTGTATGGCAATCATGAATCCTTCCATCTCTCCAAAGAGGTATCCAAAGCTAACCAGCTGGTTGATGCAGTTTTGTGAACAAAATCATTGGGATGCCTGTCATGGAGTGCCTTTTGAGTCCATAATTGCTTAATGGTGTCTATACCTTTTATATATTGTGTCACGTTCATATGATGTGAGTGTAAGTTTAATGGTGTGTTATTTGAATCTGTTAGAGTTACTGCTTTATGTAACTGATATTTCTTGTTTTTTAAAGAAAAACTCTTACAGTGTCTGTATTTGTTTGTAGTGAAGGTTTACTATGCCAATCAGGCCATGTCCACCATCTTTATGTAGAAGGGTTAATCTTTCTATGGCAGATTTAGGATGATGTTGTTTATGCTTAGTAAGTGTTGTTCTTGTTTTCCTTTAGAGTTGTTCATAATCTGTGTGAGTCCAATGTATGACTTCAAAAGAATAAGTGAATATTGGAATGACATGTGTTTATGCTTTAACTGTGTGTTTTGCATTTAACTGTGTTCTAAGAATAGTGTTTAACCTACTTTGGCATTCTTTAATTAATCTTTGCTTTATTTGTGCATATTCTATTAGTTTGGCCAGTTGGAATCCTAAATACTTGTAGAACTCGCCCTCTTCCATGGATTCAATAACATTTCCATTTTCAAGTGCAAAATCTCCTTTCTTTGTATTATTATTATTAATAAATACAAAATTAATTTTAAATTTTAGAAAAGTATGTTGGAGAACGTTAGAAATATTCCAAACATTAGATAAGACCAATAATTAATGTATACTACCTTTTACCAAGTAGCCTTATTTTCTAAAATAATAATACATAAAAATAACAAATTAAATTTTACTTTTATAAGCAAAATACGTAATTGTAACATAATTAAATACTTACTCTAGCAATTTGTGCTGGAAAACCTGGTTTTTTTCTGTTATAGAGATTCCATATTAATGTTTGTTCTAAACTTGGATCATCCCATGTATAAAGAACAGACTGATATGGACTTAATAATGTTACTTGACTTTGTGATCTTAAAATAAAGAAATAATACACAAAATTATTATTAAGTTGAAATTAATTGTTTTATTTATATTTTATTATACATATAATGTCATTCATTGTTCTGAATATTAATATAATAAATAAATAAAATGAGCAATTATTTCATATTTCAAAACTGTGTTGTATCTTTATATTTATTTTTTAAACCGCAATTTAGCATAATAACCAACACTTGGCACAACATTCGTTTATTTCAGTTTTTGTTGATATGTGTTTATACATGTTTTGGGCTTTGTTTTGCCTCTCCTCAGTCAACTAAAAACATATAAAACCAATTTTTACACACATCATAACCCAACATATGAATTTAAAAACCATGAATTATACAAATAGCACATGACATATCTTTTAAAATCACAGATCCCATCTTTTAGCGTATTTCCACAAGTGGGGATCATAAACTATATATTGGACCGTTTCAATTACCAAACTGAAAATTTAATTCTACTTGGTACATACAAGATCTACACTTTCACAATTAGACTTTGCTGGGCTTCAAAGACTTCTCAAACTTCTATTAAGTCTTATAAAAAGTAATACAGTTAATATACTTGACACTTAGATATCCAACTATATACTGAACTTATCTCTACATACTTATTCACAGAAGGTTTTTTGGCATATCGAAAAAACCCATAACAGGCATGCAGCGCAGTTCTTTAATATCAACACTAATTCATATACAATTTATATTATTAAACTTTCCTTTTTATCAATATTAGTAATAGTTCTTACCTGAGCAACTCAACTAAACTTCATTTTTTTAGTTCTCAGCATCTAATGGCATTTTCTTTTATAATGATTTGCATACCAATGCATTCTTATTTAAAAATTGCAAAGTAAGATTTTAACTATTTTCCAGATTTCTTTCAAAAAACACCCCAAAAAAAATCTTCAAAAAATTTTTNATTTGCATACCAATGCATTCTTATTTAAAAATTGCAAAGTAAGATTTTAACTATTTTCCAGATTTCTTTCAAAAAACACCCCAAAAAAATCTTCAAAAAATTTTTCCTATTTTTCAAAGAATTTTTCATTTTCAAAAATTTTTTTCTTTTAAAAAATCTTTTACAGTATTTTTAAAAGAAAAAAAAATTGGAAAATGAAAAATTCTTTGAAAAATAGGAAAAATTTTTTGAAGATTTTTTTTGGGGTGTTTTTTGAAAGAAATCTGGAAAATAGTTAAAATCTTACTTTGCAATTTTTAAATAAGAATGCATTGGTATGCAAATCATTATAAAAGAAAATGCCATTAGATGCTGAGAACTAAAAAAATGAAGTTTAGTTGAGTTGCTCAGGTAAGAACTATTACTAATATTAAATTAGGATAAAAATGATTGATTAAAGGAAAGTTTAATAATATAGATTGTATACAAATTAGTGCTAATATTAAAGAAGAACTGTGCTATATATCCATCATACAGTTTTCTCAGTGTTTCCGGAGACATTCTATGAATAAGTATGTAGGGATAAATTCAGTATATACAGTAGAGCATCGATTATCCGATTCAATTGGGGACTCAGGTTGGTCAGATAACTGAAAAATCGGATAACCGAAAAGAAGGAAAAAAATACATTATTAGTATAGTATATTAGGATATTAGTATATCCCATGTAATTAGTTTATTAGTATATCGCTATTATTCAACTTCGCATTGAATTTTCATCGATGTTAAGCCTAACAAATTTTTTTTTAAAATAATAATTGTCACTATTGTATCGTTAAAAATTATTTTAAATTTATTTTATTGCTCACGAAACAAACAACCACTCATAATTAGAAAATTAAGTTTCGTTTAAATATTGGCCTCCCTTCAATGGTCGAGCCGTTGATGCCAGCTAAAACATGCAAATATTTAACAAAAATAATAGTAAAGTAGCCAAGATATAGCCAAATATTGTAGTGCCATATCACTAGCGGACATTTGAAATTTGCCGACTGGAACGGTCAGTTAACTGATGTGACGGTTAATCGGGGGTCAGATAATCGATGCTCTACTGTAGTTTAATATCTAAGTTTAATCAATATCTTGGTTCTTTTGAAGATTTTTTTTTGGAAAGAAAAAAATTTTTTGGAAAAAATCTGGGGGAAAAAAAACAGTTAAGAATCTTACTTCGCAATTTTTGAATAAGAACACATTGTTATGTAAATCACCATACAAAAAGAAAAACACCACTAAATTCTGTGAGCTGAACATATACAATTCAAGAAAAGTGAAATTAGTTGACCTGTTTAGATAAGAACTATTATTAATATTGATAAAAAGGAAAGTTTAATAATATAAATTGTATACGAATTAGTGTTGATATTAAAGAAGAACTGTGCTGCATGCCTGTTATGGGTTTTTTTCGATATGCCAAGAAACCTTCCATGAATAAGTATGTAGAGATAAGTTCAGTATATAGTTGGATATCTAACTGTCAAGTATATTAACTGTATTACTTTTTATAAGACTTAATAGAAGTTTGAGAAGTCTTCAAAGCCCAGCAAAGTCTAATTGCGAAAGTCTAGATCTTGTATGTACCAAGTAGAATTAAATTTTCAGCCTGGTAATTGAAACGGTCCAATATATAGTGTATGATTTTCGCTTGTGGAAATATGTTAAAAGATGCCAATGCAATTATTTATGCATTTCTCATAATCATGCAATCGTCTTTCCTTGTGGTCGCTCTAGGGCATCCAGAGTCTGCTTGCCATGTTTATATATCTTAACATATTCATTGCCCCATTGTCTCCTCACAGTCATATCAGAACAGCCCAAATAGTAGATAATTTGACAAAATGGCCATTTTTCTTCTTTCAGACTGGTGATGTTACCTATCTCAAACTCCATCAGTTGTCTCTGTAATTTCTTTCAATGCATCATACAGGTATGCCTAACATTTTAAAACATCCAACAATAAGCACACTACAGTTATGAAAAGTGTGCCTCTGCAAGCCTTTTTATAGAATACTGAAGTATCAATTTTAAGGGAATCTGGTGGCATTATATGGCATGCAATCAGACCACAACTGTAATCATTTACATACCTGTCTGAGACATAGCTGCATGCCAACTTTTGCAACAATCAAACAATTCTACTTAGGTATGTAACTTTTTTGTTATAAATGTATTAATAATCTAAATTACAAGTCTTTCATAATTGAGAAAAAGTTAAAAATGAAATTATCTTAGTAAATGTTATTAAAGCTTTAATGTTATTTAATTAACATTTAAAGCTCTAATAATTAACTAATTTGGATATTAAATTTCATATACAAAAAAAATCTGAATTTAACAGATAAATAAATATGAGAACAAAATATGTAAACATGGTTACCTTTATCATGCTTTATTATTTCAATAAACCAGAATAAAGATAAGTTTGAAAAATTAGATTATTGGTAATCATAATAACTCTATATTTTATGGTACTGAATATTAGTAAATAGTAGGAAAAATTTAAAGAGATCTATTTAAGTTTGATATTTTAATTATCAAAGTATTATCTGTTTGATTAGCCATTTACAGAAATTCTACTAGATCCCTTAAACAATAATTATGTACAGTACATATATATTAAAATTATAATTGTTTCACAAAATTTAAATTTTTTGTTATTCTTCATTGTAAATATTTGTCAAAAATAAAATAAAAATATAAAAAAATTTAACTTTTAAAATNTGGGTTACAAATGTTTGAAGAAAAAAATGTATTTCTGTTCTAAATGTTGGTATTGATCTATTTATCTCAACCCAGAAAACTGATTTCTGTTACCAAGAAATTCATAAATGTGGTATACAGCCTTTTACAAATCAGTAAAGTGATATTTTTATCAGATTAAAATGGTTAATAAAACATGATAATTCATGAATAATAATGCATTATTAGATGTGTGTTCAATCATTCTATACACAATGACTTTAATTACATTAAATCAAATTTAGTGCAGAATGTAAAGAAAGTACTGTGCTGCTGTAACTTTTTCATTGTACAAAATATCCTTATATACAATCTCACAAAATATGTAACAAAAATCAGTAAACACTTTGTTATTGATATTGTACTTTTATTATGAACACACTGTAATTATTAATTTAGGCTTAACAATTAAGTCTTTTTTAACTACAGTAACAAAAGAGCTGTCTATTTTCTTGTTATACCATGCAAAAATTTAAATATCAGCAAATTGTGCATATAAATAGATTGAGTTTTCTTCAACATGAAGTATAGAATCATATTATTCATATTGTCACAATACTTAAATACACAAATTGATAAGTTACAAACATTCAGTAAGCATTTTAGCATACATAAAAACGGAACTATTAAATGAATAGTTAACTAGATAAACTATTTCAAAGATTTTTAATAGATCGTAATGCTTAACTAATTCATAATAAAAATGTGATATTTTAATTTTTTATATTTAAAGCACATATATACTATGCAAAACAAATGGCTTAATTACATTCAGAAATACTATAAAAAAATTTTTTGTTATGAAAAAACGATTTGCATTTATTCAAAAAAAAAATTCAGGACACACTTGAAGGATTTCTAGAATAAGGAATTAAATAAAACAACTTTTCTTTAAATTTTTCCTATTTAAAATTTACTATTTGTTGTTGTGATTTTATTTCATTAATATATTTAAAGTTGTAAGAAATTTGTTTATAAATAAAAGTGATTACAGTCGACCCCCCTATAAGATAGAGATACGTTCCATTCTCTAGGAATCCGCTTTCTTACGAATCCTTCCAATCACAACCCGACACGTATCAAGTTTACGGACTACGGCTGTTTGAAAGATTTTCTTCCATAAAATTAATCGATTCTAGACTAATCCGACTCAACATTTCCAAAATACGTATATATTTTTTGGGAATAATCCGTATAAACTACGCTATAAACAAAAAATTGTAGGATTACTTACCGAGTGTCACC